CGCACTCAAATTTGACATTTTTCCTAAAGTGATAAGAAAATAGATACATGTTTGAAGAAATCATTATTGACTTTTTTTGCTGTGCCACTCTAGACCTTGTGAGGAGTCCAGTAATAGGTGGAAAATCTAATGTGACAATCTGCTATTGGAAGCAACTGGAATGCTAAGTTTATTAGCCCATCCTCTTTCCTAGATGGAGAATTAACCTAAGTAATTGTGATGACTCAGGGCATGGCACAAAGACAACACAGTCAGATAATCAGTAGGAGTCCCTTTATTAGCTCCAACTTTGCCCCCAATGTCCTGGTTACCTTCTGGCTGGAGAAAAACTATCCCAGGAACAGCCTTTGAATCAAGTTCAAAACGTGGTCAACAAAAACTATAAGTCTAATCAAGGCAAAATGAGGTAATTAGTCCAGCAGGGCAGAAGCAAGAATTCCAGATGTGAAGGCATGGCAATAACTCAACACGATTGGGAAGACTCCAGGAACACAGATAATCAAAGTCAACACAAGATAAACTCATGTTTGCTCCCAGCAGCTGCTGCACTCAGCATGCTTTTCTTTTAACTCTCTTACCCAGATGTGGCTAATGAAGGGAATCAGGGCCCTTTCCTCCCCCGTAAGCCATGCAACCTACATTGCTCTCTTCTCCGTTCCTCCCTGAATAAAGAGGGGGTGGGCCTGGGTCTTCTTCTGAACTCCCTCTCCCTTATTCTACCTTTTCCCTGCTCTGCCCAGTTGGACTTTGCCCTTCCCCAGTTTCCTCCACAGCCAATGGAGCCACACTCCCACTCTCTGTCAGTTGTTTGTCTTTCTCCTCGGATTCAGACTCTGACAGGGGCATGACAACAATAGACTTCATTCTTCCTAAAGTTTATTCCCCACTAACTAGAGAATCTTATTTCTTGCTAATTAAAAATATTTTCATTTAACTGACATAAACCTAAGTCAAACTCCCAGCACTCTGTTTATTGTCCTCCAATATCATGAAATTCATGCCACTAAAATTTGGGGGAAATGCAGTTTTTATTTTCGTTTGACGTAAAATAAACATGACATGGTAAACATGAAGTAACCATACCCATTTCCTTAACACACTACCATATCGTTCCAAATGGATCGAAATTATGATGCCAGTTTTGCCACCAAATGTTGCTGATATGATTTAGGGGAAGCTACCCCAAAGAAGGGGCTACCCCAAAGAAGGGCTGTTGTATAGCCCCACTAGTCTAACCTTTGTGTTGAATGAAACAATGGGGCCAGTATATTATTCAATAAGATTGTACCATTTATATGAATGGCGTTGCAGGAAATCTCAGAAAATCAGGTTCAAATCCCCTCCGCAGACCTTTCGATAACCCAGAGGTAGTAATTCATCTTTCAGTTTAACCTACCTGCAAAAATGAATGGTGAGGAAAAGATTACAAGCATCACCTTGACATGGAAGAAATCTGGTGTGTCATCAATAATCAATAAATAAATATGGTTTTGTTAAATTACTTAGTATCTTTCACTTTTGCTAGAGAAATGAAGAATAGTTGATTCATTCTTCACCTTGGATCTCAAGTGTGACCCCCTCATATTTAGTTTTGTGGGAGGAAATGAAATGGGGGAAAAAGGATGAGAAAGAAAGCTGTTGGATGAACACAATTTTGTTTGATCATCTTGTAATTTGTCCAGAATATTTGCTTTATTATGAATTGCCCAGAAATCATTGTGCCTTGAGATAGATGATAGACTTCAAATATAATCAGGGATGATTAAATGAATGATCAAAAACTAAGCAAGACTGATGGATGATGCTTTGAAGGGACTTTCACAGTAAACTATGTAAGCTATGAGTCTTGTCATGACACTGATCTTTGACTCATTCTTACTCTGACTCTATAAAGTCAGATACCTCCAGCCTGTTAAGGCATGGAGAGTCATGTCATCCAACAAGCCCCAATCTCTGATTTATTCAGGCCTCAATGGGTGAGTCAAGAGCAATATTATAGGAAAGCAAGTTTAATGTGATATGAATAACTTAAAAAAGAATTGTGATAAAAGAATTGTTTAGAGGTTGATATAACACATGAAGCAGGAGTTGTAATAGCAGGTTGTCTTGGAAGGAAACAGGTCAAGAAGCTTTCAGAATAATGTGATCCTTTAGATGCATAATTATGGTGTGCATAAGCGCACCAACATGCCTACTGTCCCTGTCCTATTGTTTCCTTTATTTTTATTTTTCTTATATGTATCCATGTATTCATAATTATGTTTTTACTTATACCTATTATCTTGTAAGCAATTGACAAACCAAATAAATACAAATAAAATAAATGCAAGACAAATTACAGGGTTCACTTCTGGAGAAGTTTAAAAATATGTAGTGTTTGCTAGAAGATCAGTCATGAGATATATGAGGGGTGGTAACTCAAAAGTTGAGAAGATTATTTAGAAGTTGAAAATCAAGTTCAATCCTTGGTCTCTATAGACAAAGACAGGAAAAAAAATATTTGCTGACACTTTGGAGACCCTGCCATTTAATGATACTGATTGGGTATGTTGGACTCATTGTATGGCTCATTAATGCTGATCAGCACTGATGTTTATCTAGAAGTAAAATGGTTTTTAAGAGCTTTGTTTATAACGTATTTTCATAGACCTAGGGTAGACCCACACTTTCTGCTTGATCGTTCACTAGTATGGGCCACTCTTGACAACTCCTCCCCACCTCTCCCAGCGCACTGCAAATTCATCCTTCCTTTGTGGTTTCCAGCTCTCATTCAAAACTGCTGTCTCCTGACCTTTCCACTCTGTAGGGCATTTCCAGTGCTTTGTTTCATTTAATAGTAGCCCCAGTTTGGGTTAGGCTAGCCTCCAGAAGTTGTGTGTGCTCCCTCACTGGAGATTTTAAAGAAGTAATTGGACAGCCATTTGTCTGAAATGGTATAGGGCATGTCGTCATGGCATCATCACGTGACCTATTGGGACGTTTTTCCCCATTTGCTAAACTGGGCGTGAGCGTGGCCAGCATGTGATGCATCTGGCCCATGGGCCTGGAGTTTGACAGCCCTGGTATAAGGTCTCCTGTTTGAGCAGGGGGGGGTGGACTAGAAGATCTCCAAGGTCCCTTCCAACACTGTTATTCTGTCAAGGGCAAGTCACTCTCCTACGTAGCCATTCCATTCTGGGTTGTCAAGCTGCTATGTTCTCTGCAATGTTTTAAATCTTGCAATTGAATCAGCAATGACTCACATTCTCAGTCCTGGAGATTTGTGCTCTGGTTAGCCCTGACATCCCCCAGGGGGAAAACCTTTGCAGTTTCTATGGAGTCTTGCGTGAGGCATGCTTTCCTTGCTCTTCTATGTCCTGCTCACTGTTCTGTGTGTTTTCTTTCTCTTTTCTCTCTTAAAAAAAAAAGCATTTCAGCTGCCACATAGAAAGATGCCACTTTGCTTCTGCGAAGGTGATGTGCCGGTTGTCCTCGCCTCAAAGCTCCCAGGGACAGACAGGAATGTAGGAATGAGCGAACAACCTGCTTCCTATGGCTTTGATTCTTGTTGCATGGGAGCCAAGTGATGCTGGGGATGGGGGAAACAATAGACAGAGTCTGCATTAGGGAACATCAAAGGAGATTGCTAAGACATTTCTGTGGGTAAAATCAAAGGAAAAGGCACTAATAAAAATCCCTAAAAGAAAAGGGCAGGCACTGGTATACTGTACAAAGCTGCACAGGTGCCAGCCAACAAGGATTGGCTTCTCTCCATGGATAGGAAGGCAAGAAGCTGAGGAACAACATAACCCGTGCTCAGTGTCCATAGTCCCTACTTAACACCAGCCCAGTCCCATTGTCATCCCTCTGGAGTCTGACTGGAAATATGCTTTAACTGCAAGGAAGAGTGAATACAATTTAACAAAATCACAAAGTTGGGAAAGAAAAGTTTCTAGGAAGCTCTCAAAATGACCCTTGCCATCTTTTGGGCAATGCACTCTACATGGGGGCTACCTCTGAGTTCACCTGAATGCTACAGCTACAATCCAGCTGCAGCAACGCACTCTGTCATTGGGCATGTCTCAGTAGGCCCATGTGGCACCATTGCTCCACAAGCAGTGTTGCTAGTTGGCTTCCAGGTACAATACAAGGTGCTTGTTACAACCATGTCATAGGACGTAATTATCCGCAGAACTGACTATCTCCAATTGCCCATCCTGTATGATCAGGGAAAGAAGGAATGCTTCAGGGCCCTTTCTCTGCTGAGATGCCTGTCCTCTGGGACAGGGGCCACCCCAAAGATTCATATGGCTTCCACCCAGATGATGAAGCCTCTAGAATTCTGGCTGTTCCACCAAGCCTTAGGTCACGAAAAGTGCTAAGCTAAGCGTTCAGTTCTACTTAACCGAGGACATGCATGGTTTGTGTTTTTTATTTTTCTATTGTTCTGGTTTATACAATGTTTCATTCTGGCTTTTCTATTTTTCCATATTTTTGTTAATGGCTTTGACAATGAGGTGGAAAGGAAGGCTATCCAATGTGCAAACAACACAAAACAGGCTAGGGTTTTATAATGTATGTTTTAAAATGACTATTGAAGATGAGGATTGTGTATAGATTCCTTTTCAAAATAAAATCCCTAGAATGGAGTTCAGCTAAGAAATTAGAGAGTTCGGCTGATGTACTAAGCTTTAAAAAGCAGTTGGCCTGCGTAAGAAAACTAAGTGCATTATATTCCAATATTTATGGATACATATCTTACGGAGCTCTGTAAAACGAATCTCTGATCTGAAAAAAGAAAGAAAGAAAAAATTCAGGACTTCACCTGTGAGAATTGTTCCACCTTTCGCTGTGTACCTCTCTTCCTTATAAGGCAAACCAGGAAGTAAAAGGACTGTGCGAAATTCCATAACCATGCTGCTTGCTATCTATCAGGCTACCTGCTTAGGTACCAGGGGTTTTTTGTCGTCGTTATTTCCTTTATACCAATGTAGCCTTCTGTTAAGAGTCTTTGAAAACCTCCACAGTTTGAAAACCTTCAGCTGTATGTTAAAACAGCTTCCAAACTTTGCTTTTTCTGAGCTTAATTAATGTCTGATATATTTTGTGCCTGCAGCCAGAACTAAAAGCGAATGGGGATTGAATTGCTCTGTCTTTTTTTCCTATTTCTACAAAGGAATAAAAATGTACAAGGTAAGGCTAATTTTATATATGGAATACAAACTTAGGAGTGTGTATTTATTCATGTGAGTCTGTGTGATTTTGGGGTTCTGGATCTGATCTCTGCGATTATGATAAATATCTTGAAGAAATATAGCCCTACCGCCACCACCACCACCACCCCAATTTTTTTTTCAAGGACTTTGATCTGACTTTATGAAGAACGATTCAGTGTCAGGTAAACAGACCAGGTCAAGGATTAATATAAAAATAATATTAAAAGCTAGCTGCTTTATCCTAATTATCCTCTTGAATAAAGCATCACACTGATTTCAGTTAAAACTATTGTTCCACAAGGTTTATTTCTTAATTATTGAAATTTTAATGATTGTTTCCATCTGTTCTGTAAATGCCTAAGGGATTTTCCAACAAACAAGTAAAACTGGATTCTCTGACAAACTAACTTTGAGGAAGTCCGAACGCTGCCCAGAATGTTACAGTATGTACCTGACATAATTAAAGTATGAGCTAATCTAATACATTTCCTTGATGTGCCATGTAGGAAATTGTGATTCAGGGAGTGCCATGAACTGTGAAGATTGTTTGCTCTCTGGACCAGGCTGTGGCTGGTGTTTCCAAGAGGTGAATTATTTCAAAGACACAAAAATAATGACTTGATGTAATTACAAATTATATGTTTGTTAAATAATATACTATTTGTATTCTGAACTCTCAGCTCCAAGCCACATTCTTTAGGAGAAATGTAATTCAAAGAGTGGGTCAAAATACCTACTTTAGAATCAGTGGAAATTAGCATATCCATTACTTACTTTTCTTTTTAATCTCTAGGCCCTAACTCTGATTCTAAGCAATCTTAAAAGCTTTTTATACACCTTTCCATTTAACAAAAAAATTAATTTGTGACCTAGCAGCTGCTTAAGAAAAGCAACCTCGAATTCAACATTGATGTGCTTTAAGGATTATTAACCAGGCTCATTAATCACTTTCAAACTCACTTTTCAAAGGATTGTTCATATGTATAATTAACAAGTTTGGGGCAAAGAGGAATATTATGGAAGAAATAGAGACAATTTAAATAGATAGGATATAATTGGGGCAAAAATTAATCTACAGAGAAGTTACGTAACAGCCAAAAAAGATGTTCTACCAAGGAACATCTTTCTTGGACTGATAACATTCTGAATCTGATCTTGCATCCATTAAAACAAGGAATGAAAAGAAATTAAATCTAATACCAGAGGGACACACTTTGCAACAGTTGTCTTTTTAAAGGATTTATTAACTAGCTAGAAATTGTCTAACATTTCCAATTCTGTCTCTGCCAATAAAGAGACTAGAAACTTCTGACTCAGTTCAGCTGACCTAGTGATTCAAGCATGTGCTGAGTTCTCCTGAACCCAAATCATAGAGAACGGAATATGCTTCATGTAACAAGACTGGGGCACCTCCTTTGCTTTGTAAGTGAAAACAGAACTCAGAGATAATATAAATATGGTGTCAGACACCGGCTTCTGTGTGAAAGTGTGCATGATCAAAACTGCAGAAAATTAGTAGCTTTGGTTTGACTGTTTCTAAGTAACCGTATGACTTAATGTTTACACAATCTTGATTGTGCTTACAGAAAACAGTAAAACTTTTTTCTTACATTCAGACATTTTCAAATGAAGAAAGCATGCTTGGTCCTGTTTCCACATTCCATTATTTGGCATTTGTTATTGTTTTGGTAAATCCCAAACCTGACCCTATGAAAGAAACTCACAGTTAGTGATAGAAAACTCTGCTTATACAGTTTGCCTTTGTCTGGAATGTCCTCTTGAGGGAAAAAAAAAACCAGGAACCTCAATGACGAGGAAATACATTGGATGAAGTATGATCACAATGATTGCGGAGATGCTGCGAAGGTCGTAAATGTGAAGACCAGTCATAAGTCCCTTTTGTCAGAGCTGTCCTCACTTCAAATGGTTGTTAAGCAAATGGTCATAAGTCAAGAACTATCTCTATGGCAGGGCTGTCAAACTCCCAGCCCATAGGCCAGATTAGTCACGTGTTGGCCACGCCCACGCCCAGTTTAGCGAAGGGGGGAAAAGTCGCAATATGTCACGTGATGCTGCTGTGACAACGCGAGTTTCACATCTGCTCTGTGGCAAGGTCACCTATGGAGATCTAATGTGGCATTGCCAACAAAAGCAACAGCAAAGAAGTCTCTCTTCCTACACCATGCCATTCAGAACTCTTTGGCTGATGGATCTGCAACTTACTTTCCCTGCCTGACCAGGTGGGACGGGCTCAGGGGTGGGATTCTACCAGTTCGCACCTATTCGCTAGAACCGGTTGTTAACATTCTAAGCAGTTCGGAGAACCAGTTGTTAGAAGAAATTACTGGCCTAATCCTGTAAGGAAAGCAGGAAGGAAACATTGCTTAAGAAACTGCCTCTCCATTAACCCTTATTACATTCTTGGTAGGACTAGACTTCCTGTCTCTGGAACTTCTCTGGAGTTTTTTCCCCCTCCTTTGCTGGTACTTTGCTTGTGTGGAGTGACCATTCAAAGTTACAATGGCACTGAAAGAAGTGACTTATGGCCATTTTTCACACTTAACTACTGTTGCAGCATCTCCACAGTCATGAGAGGCCAGGGGAGGAGATGCGTGCCTCGATGTGAATGATATTGAGTTGGCCACACCCAGCCAATAACATGACCACCAAGCCATGCCCACCCAGTCACATGACCACGAAGCCATGCCCATCAACTAAGCCACACCCACAGAACTGGTTGTTAAAAATTTGAATCCCACCCTTGGATGGGCTGATGTAATGAGATGAAGATAGTTCCATAGGTAACCTGGCCCCATGCCATATCCCATCTCTTATCTCTAAGTAAATTCTTATTTGTTTGTTTGTTTGTTTGTTTAATTTATATGTGACCCATCTCCACTTTCAAAGCAACTTTCCTTAAAGCCTCGTCGTTCAGTTCTGATCAGTGAAAGTCCATTAAGGATTATCAGAGATAACATATCAATTTTGACCTTGATCAAAATAAACCAACCTTATAGTCCTTCCTTTTATTTTTAATAATCTTGATCTATTGTTCTTTAAAATAATGGCCTAGAGCTTGATTTCTTTTCTTTTCTTTTTGTTCCTTCTTACGAAATTCTTCCAAATGTTAACAAGCCTCTTTTGTACAACCCATGTAGGCAAATTATCCAAGTCACTCTCTTGGTTTGTTGTTTGTTTATCCTTTTAATTATTAAGACATTCAGATGGTTTCTTTTTATGTCCAGAGTAACATCTTTTCCCATGTCATTCTTGTAGCCTATCATTTTTAAATGCAGTTTCAGATCAGTTTCAGTCTTGAACAACAAAGCCTGTTCCTCTTCCATATCACCTTTTAAACAGTCTGTCTATAGAGGCACACACTTTTCAAATTAACAAATGAGTTCAGTGTTCAAAACCATCCTTCAATATGTCCAATATTAAAAATCTTTTGCTCTATTCTCTATTAGTAAGCCAAATTTAAGCTATTCTCCTTCAATTGTAATCTTTAATTCCTTCTATTCTCCAACCTTTAGTCTCATCCTATCTTTTTTAAAAAGAAAATTCAAAACAAAGGCATTTTCCCATAGGAAGGATTGTTCTAATTAATGCCAAAGTCTTATTTCAAATTCAAATGGACTCTTAGTCCATTTGTAGCTTTCCACAATTAAAGTTCTAATCACCCTGTTTATTTAAAAAAAAGTCCTTAAACTTGAATTTATTTATTTTTTTTTGCTAAGGATTGAAAGAAACTCTGATAGACCTGTAAAATTTGTCATTCCAAAGATTCCTAACAGTTGAAAAGAAGTTAACAAGTCATTTGGAACTCTGGTGGCGCAGTGATTAGAGTGCAGTACTGCAGGCAAACTCTGCCCACAGCCTGGAGTTCAATCCTGATCGGTTCAAGGTTGACTCAGCCCTCCATCCTTACGAAAACAAGGTAAAATGAGGACCCAGATTGTTGAGGGCAATATGCAAATAATGCTTCTTTATTTTAAACCACCCAGAGAGTACTGTAAAGCACTACGAAGCAGTACAGATAGTCCTCAACTTACAACAGTTCCTTTAGTGACTGTCCGAAGTTACAATGGCACTGAAAAAGATGACTTATAACCGTTTTCCGCACTTACAACCATTGCAGCATCCCCATGGTCATGTGATCAAAATTCGGATGCTTGGTAACCGGTTCGAATTTGTGACGGTTGCAGTGTCCCAAGGTCATGTGATTCCTTTTTGCAACCTTTTGATAAGCAAAGTCAGTGGGAAAGCCAGATTCATTTAACAACTGGGTTATTAACTTAACAACTGCAATGATTCACTTAACAACAGTGGCAAGAAAAATAGTAAAACGGGGCAAAACTCACTTAATAAATTTCTCGCTTAGCAACAGAAATTTTGGGCTCAATTGTAGTTGTAAGTTGAGGACTAGCTGTATATAAGCCTAACTGCTATTGCTATTACCAAAAGAACATAGCTATTCTCTCATTTCTCAGAACTCTAAGCCTGCCAGAGACCAGTGGTTTGCAATGTCTTTGCAAGGAGCAATTGTTTGGAGCAATTGTGGGTGATCTCAAGTCCTCTCCTTGTCCAGAGAGGAATTCTGAAGAGCTGCTGTACTTGCTGGCTATTAATTCCACTGTTGTCTTTGCTTTTAGCAGAGCTGTCCTCACTTCTCTATTTCTTCCCTGGAAGTCTAACAACAGTAGGTAATTTGAACTGATATCTTTTTGAAAGTCTGATTTCTAAAACTAAAAGCCAGCTTCCATTTTGAATAAATTCAGAAACAATGTTGCTTTTAGTATGAATAGGAGCAATGCCAATCTTGACTTAAAAGAAATTGTGTTGTTGAGAAAGTAAGCTTGGTAAAGGTATATTTATATTCTATTCATATAATTATACACTATGCCTTCTCAGTGTAGCAACTATTTTTTCCTGATCCATAGCCAGACCTTAATGCTATAAATGTAACTAAGCATGGGATAGTTCTTCAGTTCCCCTGTTCAAGAAAGATCCTAAGAATTTGTGTGTGTGTGTGTGTGTGTATGTGTTTGTGTGTTTGCCTTTGAGTCAATGTTAACTCATGGACAAATCCTTGCAGTTTTCTCCACAAGGTTTTCAGAAATCATTTGCCCTTGCCCCTTTCCTAGGGCTGAGAGAGAGTGACTGGCCCAAGGTTATCCAGCTGGCTTTGTGCCTAAAGCAGGACTAGAACCCCATGGGATTAATGTGATTTTCTTAGGGCTTATCTTCACACCTTGCTAACTGCAACTTAAATATGGCTCATTAATCATTTTTAAAGGACATGACATGTCCTCCTGGCCTTGGCTTTGTCTCTTCCGCAACCCATTGTGCGGATAATATAGATTCAAATGTATCTGTTCCAGTTTGGAAGTGGTGATTTCCCCTCTTCTTCAAACACAAGTTTGTGTGAATGATCTGGGATGGTTCCTCGACAGGAATGAAGATGGCATTTGAAGGGGATGCAGGCAGGTTCTCTCTGTTCTTGTTGCCACCCATTTTAATAGGAATAGCCAGAGACCTTGGCTTCCGCAAAGGCACCTGGGGATTAAGGAAGAAGCACACTCAGCATGAGAGATTGTGGGGAGGCTGAGAGAGGAATGGAATAGAGAGTTGACAAAACAAACAAGAAACTGCAGGCAAGTGAAATGATAGCTTATCATTCTGAGAGATTCGTTCTTAATTACCTCAAAATAAATGAGGTTGGGAAATTCCTCTTCAAGTTTTCAAGATTCTGTATCTCCCTCGACTATCATTATCATTAAAACGTTGATTATATGCCATCAGGTTGGTGTTAACTGTTAGCAACTCCATAGATAACCTTCCCAGGATAGCATTAAAAATCCTTCACTGAAGTTTGTATAGTGCTTGTATCCTTGGTTTTAGTTCATTCCTCAGTAGGCATGCAAAGGCTTGTATGGTTTGCATCGGAAAAACATTTTGCCTGCCCATGTTGCGATTGTGTAGCCTGAGGCAAGTTTCGACTGCTGAAACCTATCCTCCCTGGATCTTAAAGTAGATTACTTCCAAGAAAACTCATATTTGGATGTCAGCCCTAGTAGGAAAATATTGGAGAGAGGGGGGAAACTAACCTTCATCTGTCCCCAAAAGGACATAGAAACAAAACATCAAGGTTAGTATTATCATGATGTGTGCATGCTTTTTAAGGGATTATCTGATTATCAATTGATGTGATCTGATAGTTGGACTACCTTTGGAGATGGATTTAGTGTTCTTCCAGAACACTAGGATTTTTTGCTCGTACAAGAAAACGTGTACAAAACCAGACAGGGTCTAATAATAATCATGCCCTTCATCAAACTCTACTTAACCAAGAAAATGGGTGGATGTGGAATGTTTCCTCCCTAGTCCAAGCCCATTCAGATTAAGCAAACAATTGGCAAATATTTCTCTACTTCCAGGAGATACTTAATGAGAGTGTAAACAGAGCCAGGGGAATCCACTAATCATTTTCCTTTACTTGCCCTACATTCAGACTATAAGGGTGGCACCAGTGCCAGGCCTGTTTCTCAGGCAAAATAGAATACAGCAATGAGATTCACGGGAAGTTGACCAGAGGTGGTATTCAGCAGGTTCTGACCAGTTCTGGGAACTGGTAGGGGAAATTTTGAGTAGTTCGGAAAACCAGTAAATACCACTTCTGACTGGAGATTTCACAGTATCCTTCCCCTGCCACGCCCACCAAGCCACACCCACAGAACCGGTAGTAAAAAAATTTGAATCCCACCACTGAAGTTGACGTGTTTCTGTGAGCACAGGTACAAGGAATGGGCACATTAGAGCAGGTGTAAATAACAGCCCTCAGTTTTCAAAACAAAGGGTAACTGATAATCAAGAAGCCAGAATGTTCTTCTTGTTCTTTTTATTGTAAGGTCATCATACAGTATAAAGATTCTTATGGAAAGGCATTGTTGCTGGTTTTAGTAAGGAAAAAAAAATACCTTATAGAGTCGATTCCATGGGTTTTCAGGAAAAGACAAGTGAGTGGGACGCTAGTTTCCTCCAGCTCCTTTTTTGCATCATTTCTAAAGACTTACACAGACGAATACGTTAGATATTCTGTTCCACAGATATTTCAAACGTAGACCCAAATGATTTAAATATGGGCACGCTAGCCAGGATTACATAAAAAGACTCCAGAAATATATATGTGTGCTTTATGTGCTATATTGCAAAATGTTAAACTGGGAATATTATTTCTAGGCTAGCTTACAGTACTTCTATTTAGCCATTCTATGATAAATGGAGTATTTATCGTTTTTGCCCGAGCAAAATCCTTTTTATTAATGAAAGATACCTAACCAGCGGTATTTATTTTATTTGTTTTATTTTATTTGGTTTTATCTATTTTATTTTATTTGGATATGTTGGATTTCAACTCTGAATCACCCAAGAAATTGCCCTTGGATCCAAAGTGAATTTCTACTCTGAAATATTTGATCTAATGTATATTTTTTCCAAAATGGTTTTGAAATTAGATCAATTCCATTATGTTATTGGTAGAAAATGGGGAAAATATTACTTTAAAGAAACACAGAAACTTTCCTAGTATGTCATTAGAAGCCTCTGATCAGTCAAGAGGATATCTTATCCGGCCTGTGGCCAGCCTAGCAAGGGTTAGGGGTAGGGTTAAGAAGGAAGCATAACCAGATGGGTTAATTCTATTGTATAGTTTGTTTGTTTTTATACTATTTATTTAAAACCTTTTCAATGAAATAAAAACAATACTTTTGAACCGAAGAGAGAGAAAATAAGGAAAAAGTAATAAGAAAGTGAAACATTTTAATGTTGTAAGCCTCTCAGAGTCATCTGTGTGTGAGTTGGATGGCCACGTTAATTTGTTCAATAAATAAAGAAAAGAAATAGAAAATAAAGAATATGAAAAAATGAATCTTCTTAACAGCAGTTATAAGTACATTTCTATTTTATTCTCTCTCTCTCTCTCTCTGTTCCTTCATAATTCTCTTTTTTTTTCACAATCTACCCTTTTCTATCTTCTATCTTCAGAGGGGAGGAAACCCAAAGAAAGTCCCCAAACGTAATGATGAAATATCATCCAATGCATGCACATAGCAAGAATTATTTCTTTGCTCTGTAAACACCCATTCTCATGATTAATAAAGGCCATTTAGCACTGCACATGGTTTTCGAGTTACAATGGTTCATTTAGTGACTGTTCAAAGTTACAACAGCACTGAAGAAAGTGACTTATAACCATTTTTTTTACACTTACAACCACACACAATCAAAATTCATGCTTAGCAACAGATTCATATTTATGATGGTTACAGTGTCCAGGGGTCATGTGATCCCCTTTTGCAAGTTAAGTGAATAGGGAATTCAGATTCACTTAGCAACTGAGTTACTAACCAAATAACTGCAGTGATTCACTTAACAACTGTGGCAAGAAAGGTCATAAAATGTGGCAAAACTCACTTTAAAAATATCTCGCTTAGCAACAATTGGGGTCAATTGGGGTCAAAAGCCAAGGACTAACCGTATATACCAATTTATACGTAGAATAAGTCAATTTCAACATGATCCATCTTAACATTGTTTGCCCCATGCTCTCACATACACATCTAACGTGACACACCTCATGGAAAAAGCATTATTGTATTTCCTTTAGAATTAGAGCCTTCCATTTAATTAAACTATTTTGTATTTCACTTGGTTTGTTTTTTGTTCTTCCACTCCTTTGTAGAATTTTACTGATTTATCTGACATTCATAAAAGGTGTGACACTCTTGAAAAGCTTATTTCGGAAGGATGCCACCTGAATTTCATTGAATTTCCCATTTCCAAAGTAGAGATCCATGAAAACAAGCATCTGAGTGATGGGCCACAAATAAATGGTTCAGAAGTTACTCAGATTTCTCCTCAAAAGATAACTGTTTTCCTGCGGCCAGGTAAGTTACATCATCACATCTATACAACTTTTTAAAATAGCTTGTTATTTATTTATTTGTGAACTGCCTCAATCTTGAAGAATTGTAAGAGTTTACAAAAAGCCATGGCAATAAAGTCAATGCACAAGTTGGTCTACAAAAAAAATCCAGTAAGGATTTGAAAGGAGATATCTGAATTCATTTACTAGAGAGTAAGCTTTGTTCAACTTAGGAAATCTATTTCTGAGTAAATACCTGGGGATTTTTTTTAATCAAGTGATAAAAGGACACCTGAGGCTGTATGAGACACAACCATTTCTGTAAAGTTAATATTTTGTTCACAATAGCTTTAGCAATTTCCTTTTTTCCTACTGCAATATTAATATGGCACAGAACAATAGAATCCATCACAACTTACAAGCAAATATCTATCATTTGAGCATATTATAATGCTCCTTCAGTCCAGATAGGTGTATTTGTTTAGCTATGATTGCAGCACATTTGATGAATAGATTTGAGAAATATGCAGGTTTGTAGCAGGGGAAATAGTAATTGATGAAAGCAGAAACAATTTACTAATGTTCTTCTCCAAAAGAGACCCTGTCTTTTCAAATAATTTCTCAATAAGTGATGTTCTCGTACTTTGCCAACATTACTAAATCTCATTAAATGATTTTCAAAAAAAAAAGTGCATGTTGAATTGGACCCACAAGGAAACTGTCAACCAATACAGCTCATGAAGCAGAGGTATAACAGCTGCAGTCCTTGGAGCACACATAATTGCCCAAGCTCCCTAATACCCAACATGTGGTCTTGTGAACCATTGGGAGGGAGAGTGGCACAACCCTTTATGATGGATGGGAGGAGGGTACTTTACAGGCTGTAAAGCACTCATTCTGTGATCTTCATGAATGTGAATGGTTGTTAAGCATCATAATATCCAGATATGAGGGAGACAGGGAAATAGGCAGGCAGGCAGGCAGGCAGAGCCCAAGGTCACCCAGCTGACTTGATGCCCAAAGGGGGACTAGAACTCACAGCCTCCTCATTTCTAGCTAATGTATTCAATCAGCAAACTGGCTCTCTTGAACAGAATAAATGGATTTATTATTTGAAAGTAAAGTTATTCACTGGAACTCTTGTGTTGTCACTCTAATTCCTAAGAAATCTTGCTGATTTGAGCTCAGGGACCCTTATTCCTTGGTTTAATAATTTCCAGTCCTGATGATAGTTAAGAAGTCTGACCATAAAGCAAATTGAGTATGAGAGCCCCAGAGCACTGAGAGGCAATGGGAGTAAAAAGGTACATAGAACAAGGTGTGAATTTCATAAAACAAAGATGGCCACTGTCTGAGTTCACTGTTACCACAATTTATTTTTTTATGTGCCTCAGGGAGGAAATCATTAACTACATGGCCAGAAAATAGTTTTCAATATAATTTATATTAGTATATGAATTTAGGAAGTAGCAAGATCATATTTGACTAGTTTAACATTAAATATATACATATCTATTGTATTTAATATAATATTAATCACATGTGCATTAATATTTAAAAGAAATACACTAAATAGTTTGAAATTAAATATAATAAAAATTTTGTTCCAGCCTCACCCACTAGTTTTTCAAATGTGGCCTATTAGCAAGTTGGGTTATCACAGCCCATCACAGAAGAATGAAGGTAGCTCAAAGTTCATATGGGGCCCTCAGGCCTAGAAACACCTGTCACTCAGGCGTTCCTCTGGAGATGTGCATGACAGATAAGAAATGCCACAAAGTATGTAACAATAGCATTGGACTTTGCCAATAACATGCAGTATTAGACCAAATACAGTCCTGTGCCCATCAGAAGTGTAAATATTTTCGAAAGAGTAGATATGTGATCTCAGGTGGCCCAAGCCTTACTGAAAGGGGTGCTCCCAATTTCTCTTTCTTTCTTTCTTTCTTTCTTTCTTTCTTTCTTTCTTTCTTTCTTTCTTTCTTTCTTTCTTTCTTTCTTTCTTTCTTTCTTTCGATGTGCATTGATTGCAACAGGCTTGATGCCGTGCCTGACAGAACTGTTTTGACAAAAGAGCATTAGGCTGGGTGGAATTCTCTGCAATCTCATTTTCTGGAGGTATGGGAACCTCCAGACTGAGTGAATGAATGAATGAGTGAATGAACGAACAAATGATTACAAAGAGTGAATGGCACGTGAGAATGCAAAGTTTCAAAGTACTGTTTATTTTAGGTTTGCTGAAAAGTGATTCCATCCCTTCTCAGAACTAGAGGAAAAATATTGGTTATGAAACAAACCTTCTGATGCTTCTACAGGAAGAAAGTCTTCCTGGCCAATGGGATGGAGAAGGCAGTTTTTTTTTTTTTTTTTACCGAGCTAGTCATTCCAACTTTTAATTTGTTATTTCTTGTAGTAGTCTGTGTATAAAGCATATTTTGCAATTATACTTTGTAGATGTTTTTCACTATCCATATCAGACAATTAATTATTTTAAAAGTTAATGCTACTGCTGAGATATTCTTTGTCACAGAATAATACCATACAACATAGAGAATAAAGAGGCCCGGTCAATACTTGTACTTCCTCTTCCCTTTTTTAACCACAGTGGTTTGATCAGTTTTCTATTTTCCCTTTGGTTCCACAAGGAAATGAAGAAACGATACAGATCAACGTTCGTCAGACTGAAGATTACCCAGTTGATCTCTACTACCTCATGGACCTTTCAGCTTCTATGGATGATGATCTGAAAACCATAAAGGAACTAGGGTCCACCTTGTCCAAAGAAATGTCTAAGCTCACCAGTAACTTTCAGATGGGCTTTGGGTCTTTTGTTGAAAAACCAGTTTTACCATTCATCAATACTCTGAGGGAAGATCTGAAGAATCCTTGCCGGTTGGTAGAAAAGTTCAAACATTTCTTCTGACTCTTTAGAAATATGATTTGAATTTAAGTGAGATATCTCTCCTTGAATGCAGTTTGAAGAATTCATTGTTTCAATATAGGAATAGGGGGTTCCTCCCCTCCCCTCCCCTCCGCAAGGAGATAGGTCAAGGACTGCTGAAAGTGAGAAGTCACCTCCAGCAGCCCTTTCATTCATACACATGCAATCAGAACCCACTCACCCCACAATCTTATGCACACTAATAATGCATACTAAATCAACTCTTTTCAAGGCAACACTCTGGACCCACCTTTCATTATCCTTTCCAAAACTTCAAGATTGTAGAAAGCTTTGATGGATCAGATACATCAGCCTTATGAGCTCTCCAGTCCTGCTTTAATCATTCTGGTATTTTCCACTCAGGATGGTCTCTAGCCTAGATTTCAGGGAATCTGGTCTGGATATTAATTATTTATTTCAGTTTGTCCATCAGCTTTTCATTTATGTGAAAGTAGGGATGGTGATTATCTAGATTTCTGGTAATTAAGCTAAGGATGCTATGCTCCTTGAAAGGGCAACTGAGAACTTATCAGATGCAGCACCAGGATATTCCTCCAAGCACTGAGAAACTCCACCAGTGAAATATATTGACGGGACATTCTAAAGTCTATGAATTAACAAGATTTATTGAATTCCTCAACATACTCAAAGCTACAATAGATACAATACAAAGCTACAACTGTAGAATTATTCTGGTTCCCACTGATCTCAATAAACAGGAAACTACCGTCTACTTTCTGATCTGGCAAGGATAAATGACATATTTGTAAACCACTTAGAGAGGGCTGTAAAGCACTATGAAATATATAAGTATATAAGTATAAGCACTATTGCTATTTTTGATAATAGTGGCTTCTCTGCAAGTAATGCTACTCACCAAATGTCCTGTAATTTGCTTTATTTTGGAGCATCGATATGTAATCCGTTGTCCTAGAAATAGTGGGTTCAAAATCCTATCACTCAGTTACAATGTACTGAATTCACATCTTCAAGGAGATATCAATTGTATAAACTACAATCTATCTGAAGATTGTACTACTTAATACTAAAAAGAATAAAGGACCATATTAATTGCACCTCAATCCTAAAGCTTTTTAATGTGACCTCCATTGTTTTTTATAAGCACATAAGCATTTTATTTTACAGAAATGTTGCATTTGATTGCTTGCCAACATTTGGATACAAGCATGTTCTGTCATTGACAGACAATGCAGAAAGATTCAATGAAATTGTGAAAAAACAGAAAATCAGTGCAAATTTAGATACTCCAGAAGGAGGATTTGATGCAATTATGCAGGCAGCTGTTTGTAAGGTAAAGAAACTATATCTGTGTTTCATGCTGATTTGGGGTAAATGAAGACTGTCTTATTGCTTGCTTTACTTTAGACCAGAACATCCCATGTGAAAGTACCTCATGATGTTTGTGAAAAATTTAAAAACCTGGCTGTTCCCCCAACTCTTGGGTTAGGGTGGGTGTTAAGCTCTCTGTAGGATATCATCTGTTTAAAGAATTACCTTTTGAAGATTTTGTGAATTGTGTTTTTACTGTTTTCTCTAAAAGCTGTATGCTACCCAGGTTCTTAAAGAGTTGTGCAGCCTTGTAAAGCCAATAAGTAATATTCTGAATGGCTGATTATGTATATAATTTATTATACTCTACTTCAAGTACTCAGATAATATGGCTGACCTTAACTGCTCTGCAGTTTCACTGAGGAGTGGTATTTACTACTTCACCTCAGGCAGCAAAATCTTATGGCTTGTCTCTGATAGTTCTTTCGAATACTAATTGTCATCCTTTTATAGAGTAGAGCTTGGCATGTTTTTAATCAAAAGAACAAGATAAATCGTATTTCATATTTCTGCATGCGATACCAAAATATTGCATAGATACAGCTTTACCTCATACTCCCTGTCATCACTTATTAATGTTGTACTGCAGGAAAAAATTGGCTGGAGAAATGATTCATTACATCTGTTAGTGTTTGTGAGTGATGCCGATTCTCATTTTGGGATGGATAGTAAATTAGCAGGAATAGTTATTCCAAATGATGGAAAATGCCACTTGGATCAACAGAATGAATACTCCATGTCAACTGTTTTGGTAATTGTTTTTTATTATTATTATTCAATCCTTTCCCATTCTCCCATTCTTGTACATTTAATCGTATTAGAAATTGCATTTGTATAACTCCATGCATTATGCCTTTTAAAGTATTCTAAAATGGATACAGAAAATATAATTTGTACAAGGCCATTTTCAGATGAATTAGAATAAAATTACCCTTTTACCACAGAACTGTATTTCATGCAGGGTTAGGAACAGCTCCCATTTGAAAACTATCCTACACACTACTTCAGGAAAATGGAAAGCAATAAAGTCTTTTACCACTACAGCAGAGGTGGTATTCAGCAGGTTCTGACCAGTTCTGGAGAACCGGTAGTGGAAATTTTGAGTAGTTCGGAGTCCCAGCTGATCGGCTGGGTCTTCCTTTGTTGTCCTGCACAGGAAAATGGAACTGGAAAGCAGGTTAGTGGGGTGGGTTGTAGAGGGAATGGAGATTTTGCAGTATCCTTCCCCTGCCATGCCCACCAAGCCATACCCATAGAACTGGTAGTAAAAAAAATTGAATCCCACCACTTCACTACAGGAACATTAATTTTCTAAATAAGAGGCATCCCAAATCTAGTTTAAAAAGCATCATCTTGTTATACCAAATTGAGATGGCTTCTCACTCCATTCCTGTATCATGGATTCTTAGAGTTGGGGGTGTCCTCATACTGTACTTCTTGCTCTATTTTTATAATTCTTCTGTATAAATTCATTTGCATACAAGCTCCACTACTCAATGATCTTCTCGGGGTTTTAAAGAATGTTTTAAAAACACACTTTATTGCTTGTTGAAGACCCCTCAACATAAGTCATTCCTTGCTCCAGTGTGGATGCTTATCCAAGTGTGATGAAGGAACTTTTTTTCACACAGTCTTTTTCAATCAGCACCCCAAATTTGTGAAAGTGTGAAAGTGCTGAATGCAGCCTTTCCCCAATTCTGCCCCCTGGGCTTCATAATTTTGTGTAGCAGACGCAGATAAACTTCAAATGAGGTTCCCTGTCTTTCTATTTACACAGCTGTATTTATTTATTTGTTAAGCTTCCATGTCGCTCCCATCAAAGCCTCTTAATTCCATACTGTATGAAGGTAAATATGTAACACGAAAAAAACAACAACAAATAATCAGCAATTTGTTCAGCTTTATCCCACTACAAGGTGCCATTTCCTCAAAAGCAATAATCAGGATTCTATTCCATTTGTATATTCCCACCTACCCACAAAAATCCAATTCTTCATTGCTTTCCAGAAACCGGATATGGTTGATGGTCATCCTTATCTGCAGATGCTGGCTGTAGAGCAGGGGTGTCCAGACTTGGAAACTTTAAGATCTGAGGACTTCACCTCCCAGAATTCCCCAGCCAGCCATACTAGTCTATTATAGAGAATTGGGCTACTGCCACGAAGACTTGTTCCCAGGAGCCCAGATATTAAAACTCCCTAATAAGAATCTACAGGAAGCCTTGAGATTGCTGTCTTCCTTAATAGAAATTTCAGTGTTTTTCCAAAAGGATTAGATTCTGCTTTTCTTAAACATGAGTTTACATTTTTCATAAAGGAAGAGCAGCCTTTGTTTAATTCCAGGGCTAGTATCTTTCTTCTAGCAAGGTGAAAGAAGGCATTATGGAGGATCCATGCTTTGATTAACCTACTGTGCCCTCTCTGCACCCAATATGTGAGCCTTTCATCTGACACTGTCCAGGTGCTTACCATGCACCAGTAAGTTATTTCTGAATTTAAAATTGATGTAAAGATCATTTTTCTTCTTTGATTTTCTCAGGAATACCCAAGTTTAGGACAATTGATAGAGAAGATTGTGCAAAACAACATTCTGTTAATTTTTGCAGTCACCAAGGAACAAGTTAATTTATATCAGGTAAGATCTCTAAACCTTTTCACATCCTTCTTAGATGGTCTCATCCTTTCGAGATGGTCTCTCAGGTGAGGGGACTGAGGTTATTTGAAGTTGCGCCATATTGTTTGTTGCCTGAAGTTCAAGAATTGCTGAGGCTGAACTGAAATTTTGGAAACTCCAAACGATTTGGCAGCACTGGCCACAGCCCTGTCCCAGTTGAGTTGTGGCAAAGGCTACTATCCTGGTGGATAACTAGATTAAGGAACCAACACCAAGGCTGGTACAGCTCAGCACAACATGATTTTCTATTTCAGCTAGTGACCCAGCCAGCTTAGACATTGTGGAGGTTTCTATAATATCCCTTGGTGGGGGTGCTTGGTTATGACACCCTATCTGGCTCCAGTAGTACATTATTTAGTTAGTGCCTGTCTTCTGGTGTTCATCAAAAATTTTGGTGGGCTTTTTTTTTTTTTTTTACATTGAGGAGAGTACATTGGATTGATGTGGACCCTGCACATTCCTGAACTCCTGAAGTCAGCAGTGTGCTAGTAAATGCTTTAAAAGCAGGTCTGCCAGTTCCATTGCTGCCACTGAGTTGTGCTGCTAGCTGCAGAACAGTTGATTGGCTCACAAGGCATTGTATCATAGCTTTGTTCTCAACTGGCTTGAAAACAGGAGTAGGTGAAAGTCACTGGCAATGGGGAGCTGAAGAAGCAGAGGCAACATTTGCACAAAAACTGTGTATTTCAACCAAAGTTCTTCTTACTTTTTAAAATGATATACAACACAGAGGGGCATAAAGAGTTGAATGGCCTTCTAAGTCAAATAAATGAATATTAAGATGAAAGGGATGGATGGTAACCAAAAACAAAACAAAACATTCAACGTTCTAATCAGAAATGTTATTAGATTCAGAATCCTAATCTCATTGAAGTAGGATAAATTTAGCACGTATGCAGGTACTAAATCTAATTCCACCCTCAATGTTAGAAAACAAAACACAAAAACAGCAGGGATTTTATTTTAAAAAGGGAAGTTCTGAACATGACAAAATCCGATTTCATGTTCTTGGGGAACAAACAAAAACACCTGGGAACTCTGACATGACAATAAAAATAATGCAATGTGAAAAAGTGTTCGTATAATATGGAAGTACAGAGAGATAGCAAAGGATGTAGAGTTCTAAAGAAAATGTGATTGTTTGATCAGTGAGTGGTAACTCTCTCAAGATTAAATAATATACGGAGAAAGCCAGAAAGTCCTTATCTAAGAACTTGTCCATCCATTCTCCACCCACCCTCAGCCTTTCATTTCTTGAATGGACTGAATTTCCCTTAGTGTTCAATCATGCCCTGAACGCCTTTCAGATAAAACTGTCAAACCATATATGCCTCATTAATAATGCCATGTGTGGCTTACAGTACATTCCTATCCACATCTGTATGGAAGGAATTCCTGTTGAGGTCAGTGAAACTTCAAGAAAAGTAGATGCAATCTTACAGCCTTAGTTTAATGATGAAACAGAACCACATGTGGCTCCTGGGCAGCTGACCACATGGAGTTGAGAGTTGGGGGGTTTATACCTCCTCTTAGAAAGCCTAAGAGGAGGTATAAACCTCCCAACTCTCAACTCTGCACTTTAACTTCCTGTTCCTGTGCAAGAACATGTATTTTATTGACTGTTAACAGATTCCCATGAGGCCATTCAGGGGTTATGTAGGGGTCATAGCTGGCTCTATAGACAAAGTACAAATCCTAGGAGTTTGTCTGAGCTCCCAAGTTTGGTTGAAATTCTGAGATGATGCAATGGCTGAAATACCCTTAGGAAATTGTGCAATGTAGTGAGCTCTGTGTCTTCTGCTAAATGGTAGTGGGTTAATCCTATTATGTCCTGAAGGATAATCCCATCATCCTGAAGCTAAAGGTCTTTTGTTTTGTAGATAGGCTGGCAGTCTTTCTTAATAGGCACAAAATATCTGCTGAGGGGAGCTATTAAGAGTGAGTCTGCTTCCTGTCTCTAAAAAACATGTTTCCATTTCTCATTTAGGGAAATATAATATCTTGCCTTTTTAATATTCCTTAAAATATTTCATTCTTTGGGGGGGGGGCTTCCCACAATAATAGATTTCTACCCTTGCGGCATTTTTTATTGTTATGTAGCAATTTTGCAAATATAGAGGTAGAAGGTTATAAATTGTGAACTTGCTTTGCAAGGAGGGAAATAATTATTATTGATGAAGCATATTTATCAGTATTCAACCAGGGAAAATATTTTACGTGCATGATTGACATTCTTTTTATACACTTTTTTGTTGTTATCTACTCTCTTTTTCCTTTTTTAAATTTTATTTTGTATTTTAACTTTGGAAATAAATATGTATCAGGTAAAAATATCAGAGTTGGTCCCTTCATTTATTGGTACATATATTTTTTACCATCTATCAGGTGACCTTATACATTTGATTTCTTTTTCCTGAGGGAAGGTTATAATTCTGTTTTGCAGCAATATGCAGATCTTATTCCTGGAGCTACTGTTGGAACACTACAGCATGATTCTGGAAATGTTCTTCAATTGATTGTAGAAGCGTATAAGGTATGTAAAATGAACAAGAGTTGCCTTATCGGAAAAATGGGTGGCATATAAATAAAATAAATAAAATAATACTAGTAAATTTTCATATTTTTGTAATTTGATGGAAATAAATTAATTTGGTCATCGCATTCTTCTCTCTCTGAAGTATTGGTTATGTCCAATGTTTCATTAGCAAATAAAAAACTCAGACAAACTCATAGAAACTATAAAATATAGATTACAACTATGGCTCGTTTCAGAGATTATGGTTGGGAAAAAAAAGAGACTCCTTTCTCAGCATATGTGATTTTAGCCAGAAGCTCCACTAATACAGTTTTATTTGCACAGCAATAAGTTTCTAATGCTCTTTCTACACTACACATTTCTCTTATGACTGCTTCAGCCCAGTCTTTTTAAAAATATGTTTTAGACCAGTTGGTTGAAAGCAGAAGGAAACAGATCCAGGCTGAATATTAGGAAGGATTTCCTGATGGTATGAGTTGTTAAATACGGGTGTTTCAAAAATGTCAGATTTTAGAGACTGGCTGAATTTTCTGCTTTTCTTTGGGATATACTGTACCAATCTGAGGGTGGTCTGGCAGTTTGTGGACCTTTTTTCTTTTCTTTTCTTTTCTTTTTTTGAGCTCGTGGTTTGGATGTGGTCTGGCCCTGAAACACTATCAACTACTTTATATTTTAGAAGATTTACTTCCAAAAAATTGTTGGACCATCCTAGAACAACCAGAACAGTATAATCTGGAAGCAAAATTGAATCTCATCTTTCTCAGAATATTCTATTTTCAAAATGATACATTTTACATCCCTCGTATTAAGTAATAGAACAGACTATACAGAGCAAAGGTTGACTCTTTATCTTACAGAACTGAGCCAAATTCAGTTAAATGAATTCATTTTCATAGGCCAATTCTATGGCTATTGATAGTAAAAAATATCATAATTTCAACGGAGTTTTCCATCACTATGTGAAAGGGAGGGGAGGGGAATGATTCATGAAGCCACAACCCAAGTTGGCAAATCATTGTTAATACATCAGGCAATCATCCATTCTTAATGGACTAAGTAATTCCCCTCCACTTCACCAAGTTTCATATTTTAAAACTATTAAAAATATGGTGACACTCCCCCACCAACATAACAGTAATGTCACATTATGCCTCATTTTCTAAAAATGCAATCACAATTGTCCTTTGCACTCAAAAAGAGAATTCACTTAAAGTTCTTTAAAAGTGATTAGGGGTTTCCATTTTAAAATTGCTCCAATGATGGAAGCATTTTAAAATTGTGGCAGAAATTCAAAAGGTTATTATTCACAGATGCGTTGACCTTTCAAATAAGCACAGGAGGGAAGTCTGAATTGTCAAAATATTTGTTGTATGGTCTTCTCATATTCCCTTCCAATCTGAGTCATAGGTTTTAGCAAGCATATAAGTACATGCCTTGAGAAATTAAAAAAAAATTGTAAAGAATACTAATCAAGTGTTTGATGTCTTTAAACTATTCCAAGTTTACCCTATATAACATACAGACTGGTAGAAAATCAAGTTATTAAAAAGAGCAAGACTGCTACTCCAACATTTCTTTTTACTAAGCAGTTAATGTTCAAAAGTATGCCAATGCATTCTACTTCTGCTTTGTTGAATAAATCAGAATTGGTGACATTCACACAAAGGACACATAAAATATGGTTTACAAAAACAATAAGTTCTCACATTGCCCTTTACCAAATAAGCCATATTTAGGCTTAATACAGTTTGTGAAACCATCCACTTTTTCACATACTCGCATACCTAAGCAGCCTTTCTCAACCTTTTTGCCCTCCAAATGGTAATGCAGCTTGTGGGTAATAGAATTTGTAGTCCAACACATCTGGAGGATATCAAGAAGACTGCTATAAGTATTGACAGTTTTTCTGAGGTTTATACATTTTAGGATGAATATTGGAGAATATTTTCATTTTCACTGTAGCTATATATGTACATACAGTACTTTATCAGAGGCTATAGACCAGACTATAACAATGGCAACTCATCACTATAAATAAAACTATTTGAAAGGGGAAAAAAACAGAAAATAAAAAGAAAATATGGCTTAAAAACACAAATCACTGAATCCAAAAAAAAAATTGAATGGTAATAAAATACCTGGAGATGCTATTAAATTGATTGTTGTCCAAACTATGTGCAGTTGAGCTTCTCTAAGCAGAATCTCCTAGGGTGCCACCTCTGAAAAGCCCCTGTCTCCCATAAGCTCTTACTGCTCCATATTTAATAATTATAATTTTAATAATAAATAACTTATTACATTTATATGCTGCCTCACTGGCAGCAACTTTGAGCTTCCTTTCTTAGAGAAGATCTGGCAGACCCAATCTTCGGATCCAGGAAGGATGCTATCGGTTATACAATTATAAGGCATTACTTTTCCAATGACATGGTATTGACTATTGTGTCTTTAAGTCACTCAGGTCTGAGATAGAGCTGGAGGTGCTGGGAGACACAGATGGATTAAAACTTGACCTTACTGCCATCTGCAGCCATGGCTCTGCCTTTCCACACCAGAAGAAATGCTCTCATATTAAAGTTGGAGAACAGGTAAGTAGATTATGATTTCATCAATGTAATTTCCCATTGCAAAGTCAATTACAGTTGGGATCCCTGAATGAGATTTGGCATAAACCTGTGACCCGCTGAGCATTGGTAAACTTACAACTCCCAGGATTCCTCTCCATTGGCTATCTTGAACAGGATTGCTAGGCACCAAAGTTCTACAACTTCTGGAGAACTACAAATTGCCTTCCATCCCAATCTTAATATGGACTCCCAATTGGTATAAATTAGTGGTCAAGAGATATTGAGATATTGAAATACATTGTCACTGAAGCAAGCCATTAGTTGGCAAGCTCGGTGCTTCTTCTATGGCTTGCATTTTTCCTCCTAGAGCTCAAGTCAATATGTGTGATGCTCCTTTCCCCCCTGAGAACATCAACTCTATAAGGGAGGATGGATTAGGTCTGGGACATAGTGACTAGTCCATAGTCAACCCTTGGGCTTCCATGGTTGAGAACAGGCGAGAGCACGGGGGTCAAACTCACGACATCATGTTGTTGTCACGTGACATATCGAGACTTCCCCCCCCCTTTGCTAAACTGGGGGTGGGGGTGGCCAGACCATGGCGCCCCCGGCCTGCGAGTTTGACACCCCTGAGCTAGAGCCCAGTCTCCCCAATCCTGATCTAGTGCCTTTACCATTATACCACATGGATCCCCCTTTATAATGATCATATGGTCTGTAAGAAGAGGGAACAGGACAGATTACCTGCTAGTCAGCTGCTCCTTGCAAATCAGCTAGGACATCATGGTGGAGAACAGCCATTTCCCTTTGGATGAAAGGTTTATTTGTGTTTATTTGACTAGATTTAGGCACCACTTGACTCCAAGATAACTCTGAGCAGCTCACAATTTAAATCAAACAACAACATAGCAAATATACATCACAGTATTAAAGAAAAAGGATTGCATGCCTGAACAATAACCTATGTTCACTGAAACACGTTTAACCAGAGCAGCCACACCCACCCTGCCTGGGAGAACAGCCAAGTTTTCAAGGCCTTCTGAAATACTATCAGAGTGGGCTTCTTATGAATCTCTGCTGGTTCTCATTTCAGAGGGCAAGTACCACAACAGAGAAGACTTGCTTGCTAGGTCTTGATAGATAGCATTGTTCAATTAAGGAGACCAGGAGCTGATCAATTCTGCCAGCTCCCACCAGACAGGCAGAAACCATGGGTTTAAAGGATCTCTTCCATGTTAACTTGATAAAAAACCTGTCACTATGCTGCTTTCCCAACAGGGAACATTTGAAAAGCATCCTGGACTGTGAGATTTGGGGGTGCATTAAACAGGTGACCACTGCCTCAATGTTTTGCTTGACTTGGTGGTGCTCATGCACCCAGAAACTTGAGGTGGGACTATTCTACCTTGATTCGTCTCTTCAAGAAATGTGGTTTCTTTGCATATGCAAAATCCTTTTTTTTTTTTTTACTAAAATGGAAATTCCCCACTGCTTGGAAATGGGGCAGGGAGACAGTTGGCTTGTAGCTTTGCTTGAAGTTTCATTGAAGCAAAGCAGGAATTCAGTTTGCCTGCATAAGGTCACCTAAATTCAGGACTCTGGTAGCACTATTTATTTACAACCAAGAAATTTTATTAAAAGGCATAAATTTTCATGGACTGCACTTCATCATATGCACAAGTCTCCTATGCCAGACCAACCTGTGGTTTATGTCCATATATTCAAAACACTTCATACTTTATCCAGAAAGATTCTAATGAAGGTAAATAGGTCCCTGAGTTGATCTCAATTCCTGGAGACGCATCCAGAGGTGGTATTCAGCAGGTTCTGACCAGTTCTGGAGAACTGGTAGTGGAAATTTTGAGTACTTCGGAGAACCAGCAAATCCCACCTCTGATTGGAGATTTTACACTAACCTTTTCCTGCCACACCCACCAAGCCACGCCCACAGAACTGATAGTAAAAAAAATTGAATCCCACCACTGGACACATCGATGTTATTTTGTTGGGAGCGACACAGGAAGAATTGCCTTCGTCCGGCTTCCAACTTCTCAGCTCTGAGATTTTATGCTATAAAACAGTACGTCAAACATATCTACCCTATATATTTCACAAAGTGATGCAGTTAATATTTCCAAGTTAATTTTCATTTGAATCTTTACTTTGTATGCTAAAATGATGGAGAGTGTCATTCACATGGGTGGTTTTTTTTTCTGCTCTCTTCTTTAGGTCACTTTCAATGTGACTTTAAGTTTAAGCCCTTCAGCTTGTGGGGAAAGGAGAAGGAAAGTCCTAATCAAGGCCACTGGTCTAAATGAAGCGTTGGAGATTGAGATCCAGCCTGAATGCAGCTGTCATTGTCAGAAGGAAGCGGAGGTGAATAACTCCAAGTGTAACTATGGGAATGGTTCTTTCGAGTGTGGAGTATGTGTGTGTAACCCTGGCTACATGGGTCCAGACTGTAAATGTAGTGAAAAAGATGCACTGACTACAGAGTCCTGCAAAAGTTTCCCTGAGCAGATCCTGTGCAGCGGAAGAGGCGACTGCTATTGTGGACAATGTATTTGCCACCTTTCAGCATATGGAAATATATATGGGCCATACTGTGAATGTGATGATTTCTCTTGTGGCAGATTCAGAGGGCTGGTCTGTGGAGGTAAGTCTGCTCTAAATTGTATTTTCCTTCTAACTACATAGTAAGGATACAGTAAAGCATTGAAAGTGTGTGTATATATAGGTAGTCCTCAACCTACCACCACAACTGAGCGCGAAATTTCTGTTGCTAAATGTAAGTCAGTTGCCAAGGGTTTGAATTTTGATCATGTGACCATGGGGGATGCTGCAACAGATGGGAAAAACATATCATAAGTCACTTTTTCCAGTGTTGTTGTAACTTGGAACAATCACTAAATGAATTTTGTAAGTCAAGGACTACCTGTATTATGTACTCAGTCTCATGCAATTGTGTGTATTGTGTTGACATGCAGAGGACAGGCTTGATTTAATGGATTTTTTTCAGAGAATGGGGGTTCATGTTTCTGAAAGGCCTGATAATCAGAAAATATATCATTCACACTCATTTATATACATCACTAAACAATTAACCTAATTTGATGTAAGTGTAACCCAATTTAACTGTAAATGTAAATCTCATCTGGACTCCTCCAGATGCATCTTTTTTGGTCATTTGGGGATTTCCAGACACAGATGGAAACTTAGGCTATTCTACCATACAGTCCACTAAATAAAGATTTATTAAATCATTCTGTTAATAAGTGTATGTTTGTGGAAGGGCCACTATGAAATTTCTCATTGAATTTCTTTTGCATTATAATACAATTTTTAAAAACTCAAGAAATATACTTCTTCATTTTGCTTTTAAACATTTCCAGGTGGATCAGGAGTTCTTGTTTTATTGTGCATGAGGTGTAGCAGTCAAATATCTAAACCTTCTAATATACAATGGGTTAATGTTTTTTTTTTCTATTAGAAACCATGAAGTATTGTTTCATTTATATTCTTAAGGAAGCTTTTCTAAATTTAGTCTCCCTTCACCTGCCTGTAAATAAACTGCATAGAAACTAGCAGAACTCATATCTGGATAAACAAATATAGGAGCTCACATTACAGCAAAATAATAATACACCCATATTTCTGTGGAATTGATAGGAATATACTGTCATTACAGTGATTGAACACTGTATTCAAATCTTTTCCAAGGGGAGGAATTAAAATGCAGGAGGGATAAAAGGTCATTGGGAAGAGAATATTAAATGAATTTGTGCACTGCTAAGGAATTTGCAAAATATATTTGGATACGGTAGCTGAATGGAGGATTAAGGATTGAACCTTAATGTCCTCTTTTCTCATAGTACCTTCAAACACATTACTCTTGTGGCACTCTGCTGGTAATGTTACACAACTACACCACAAGAAACAAAATCATTGGTGCAGATTTCTTTTGGAAGATCTGTAGTTCTCTGAAGGTTGGAGTGCTGAATTTCATTATTCTGAATAAGCAGTCATATGAGTTGGTCTGTAAGCTTTGGAAAAGATCTTAGCTAGCACCAAAGACAGATGTACCGGAGGTTAGTAGATGGGCTGAAATATAATTCCCTCTATACTGTTAGAATTGCTAAATTAGCCAATGATGTTTGGAAGGCAAAATATTGTGAAAGACTGTTTCAGTGAGGCAATGAAACATGATGAGTTCTCTGTGTGGAATAAACAGTTCCATTTTATTTTCATTCTGTGACTCAATATCTTAGGAGATCTATCTATCTATCTGTGTGCCTGTCTGTCTGTCTATGTATCTATCACATCTATTTCTCTCTTCTCTCTCTTCTCTTTTATCTATCATCTATCTATCTATCATCTATATCATCTCTTCTATTTTCTATCATGTATTTCTCTATTTCTCTATCTGTCTATATCTCTATCTATCTCTTCTATCTATCTATCATCTATCTATCTACCTATCTATCATCTAATCTATATATCTATCATCTATGTATCTTCTGTCTGTCTATCTATCATCTATTTTATTTATCTACTTACCTTCCTATCTAGCTGATAACTTTAATATGTTCCTAGTTGGAAAATTTATTTCCAATTATATATAATAATGCCTTGACACAACATTCTACAGAGGATTGCTAGCAATTTTCAAGAATTAAGAAGGAAAGGCAATGAATAGAAGCATTATTGAAGTAGGGTTGACTTCCATATTTTTTCTTAGGCAATGGGGACTGTGCCTGTGGTCAATGCAGTTGCCACCCTGGCTGGATAGGTGAATACTGCAACTGTACCACGGATACCGAGAGTTGCATTTCTAATGATGGCGTCATCTGCAGTGGGAGAGGCAAATGCGTGTGTGGAAAATGTGTATGCACAAATCCTGGGGTTTCAGGCAATGTCTGTGAAAAATACCCTACATATGATGATCCTTGCAACTCTAAACGGTAAGCTGTTTCTTTGAATATGGTTTGAAAAGCTTATTTCCCCCCCACACACACACACACACATACATAGACATATCTGAATGTACAATAGGTTTTCAGAGGAACTGAATACTCTTCAGTGTCTATATTGGTAATTGTATTTTTCCTATTCCATCAAATCCTAATACATTTTGTATTCCTTTCATTATTCTACATGCTCTCTTACCTGAAAATTTAGTATATTTGTTTTTATTTATATCTTTTTATGCCGAGATTTATTTTGTTTCAATCAGGGTGATTTCACCCTGAAAGGATGCTGTAATCTATAATCTGAGAAATTCCAATAAGGTTGGTTATCAGTAGTGCAAATGTCCAATAATGCATAAGTATTGTGTCAGAAAATGAGAAGTAAAACACTACAACCTACCTCCCCAGGCCCATATACACCCATCGAAGCCTTGATTGTACAGCAAGTACTAGAGACCTTCCAAATATGGTTGTTAAACTGTAATTTTTAATCTTCCACTCTTTGAATTTCGACTTTGATATGCTAATCATGTATAATTCTCAGCCTGAAAAATATGGCTGGAGAACAGGGGTTTTTTGCTTTTTTTCTCATACTGGGATTGGCTTCCTCTCCCTTTGCAGACTTTCTAATAAGAAACAAAGGCAACCCAAGAAGACCAGACGCTTGAGGTCAGAGGAGGAGCCAGCCAACCCCTCCTACTTATCTTCCTCCATGAGATCTTCCCTACCTGCTCTTTCTCCAGCAATAGGCAGGTGCCCAGTCACTTAATTCTGAGGACCCTGCAAAGCAGGTTGGGGTGACAAATGGCTGCAAAAGAAGTTCAAAACTTAGACCAAATTAGAAGCCACTCTCTAAGAGACAAGTGGCAGTGAAATGAATGGGGTATATGGGCCAATCTGCTATAGTCTGTGGCCCAAAGCAGACTTCAGAAAGGCTCATTCAGTTGTTGCTTTGTCCCATGTCACCAGAGGTCTATTCTCTTTTATAAGATGATGGCATCAGTGGAGGATATTTTAACCTTCCTCTTTAAGCAGCCCTACAGTATTTTCTTCCTTCAGTTGCTCTTTAAAAACTTCATTTTATTGTTGCTCTGAACTAGGAAAAGGGTTAGTAACAGGGGTTCTGTGGGCGTGGCTTAGGTGGTGGGTGTGTCTTGGTGGTCATGTGACTGGGTGGACATGGGTTGGTGGTCATGTTATTGGCTGGGTGTGGCCAACTCAATATCACTCACATCGAGGCATGGATCTCCTCCTCTGGCCTCTCGTGACTGTGGGGATGCTGCAACAGTCGTAAGTGTGAAAAATGGTCATAAGTCACTTTTTTCAGTGCCATTGTAACTTTGAATGGTCACTCCACTCAAGCAAAGTACCAGTAAAGGAGAGGAAAAAAACTCCAGAGACATTCCTGAGACAGGAAGTCTAGTCCTGCCAAGAATGTAATAAGGGTCAACGGAGAGGCAGTTTCTGTAAGCAACACCAGAATGTTTCCTTCCTGCCTTCCTTACAGGATTAGGCCAGTAATTTCTTCTAACAACCAGTTCTCCGAACTGCTTAGAATGTTAACAACCGGTTCGAACTGGTAGAATCCCACCCCTGGTAGGTGCGAACTGGTAGAATCCCACCCCTGGTTAGTAATAGAGTAGAGTAGAGTAGAGTAGAGTAGAGTAGAGTAGAGTAGAGTA